GTAAAGTCAGCTAGTCAAGTCAAAATGACCGCAGATGACATGTTGCTTGCTGTGGCAGGTGCTCCCAAATGAGCCCTCTGTTTCCGTTCTCATGGTGTGCTGGTGTCGGAGGGTGGGTCACTGTTGTTGCTGTACGTGCTAATGCTAATGATACACGGTTTCATCTAGTTGCATTGGTGTGAACCAGCAGGTTTTTAGAAAGTTGCAGAATGGCGTGTTGCAAGTAGTTGCCTATTTCAACGTGTCTCGTGGTGAATCTTTGGTTTGACCTGGACTTAAGCCTTTCTTACCCAGGTGTATATAAAGTACAGGTCATATACTTTCTATAAAACAAAAATGTGAAATTATCAGTTATCATATCGGTTATTGGTCATGAGAAGCAGGTAATTATCAGTTATTGGTATTGGTTAAAAAAAATCCATATTGGTGCTTCCCTAGGTTCTTTAAGTAGGTTTTCATGATAATAATAATAATAATAATAATAATAATAATAGTAATATACAAAAAAAACAAAAAACTATTCAACTGTCCTTAGCCTTAACATATAGTGAATCATCCCCTCTAATGTAGAGAAAAGTATAGCTGGTGGTTAAAGATATCTCTGTTCTGAACTGCAGTGACCCCTGTGTCCACACCAGTCAACATGCTCTTCAACAAGATGCTCAGAGCCTGTAGGGATATGCATCAGCTCACTCCTGCCCTGTGACCTGACCTTGCTTGCATATGTATGTGCATGACTTAAAGGAATACACACAGAAACTACTAAGACACTGAGGTGGAATTAATAATGGCAAATGGCTCTCGATAAGTGTGTTCAGTGATATTATTCTTTTGAGGATAAAGCAACTCTTCTTTTCCATCTAATTGAAAATGACAGACAGGGCAGGTGGTTCAAATAATATCAGTAATCAGATGAGAACAAGAGATAATAGGTGACCCCACTTGTGTGTCGGACCCTGAGTAGCAGCTGTTCCTCTCACGTAGACTCTCCAGATTCTCTCTCCTCATCCAAGCAATCCCTAGACTGCTGGGCCATTAAAGTCTAAACCCGCAGCCTGCATGGGGTCTAAGGTAGGTCTTACATCCCTGTTGTGCATCTTTAAGTGCACAAATAAACATAAAGGGAAAAATGCTTTGCAGCAGAACTAGAAATCACCCAAATGCTTTGATGTTGGGTAAAGACTCATCATGTCTGTGCTTAAACATGCTTACTGCTTCATTGAAAGCTCTGCCCTCAGCTTTGTGATGGTATCCCCTGGTGTCATGTAGACCTGTGGGCTGTGCCACGAAGCAAGTTCAATAGAGCCAGGCTTCTTTGCCTGAGATGGCTCGACAAACCCTAAAGCCTCAGTCTGAGGTAACAGGTACCACGAGGATGGTTATCAACTGGCTCAGGCTTTCTTCTTCAGGCTCTGTGCACATCACAAGTTTATATGCCATATTCATTTTACCATTCAGTTTATTTCCAATGTGACAGCTGTACATTTTACAGCTGCTAAACTTCAAAATTGATGCAGCGGATTTAAACATTATACTCAAGAACTACATTTAAGCCTGACACTGACCCATAATGCAGGTGACTTATAAATCACTTTAGTTTTCAGACAAGTCAAAGTAAAATAATTTCTATTGATTGAATATTATCTGTGATAAATACCAATAGACTAATCAATTTTCTGATCTGTGTTTTATTAGCTGTAATATACCAGCAGTGTAAAATGGACTTCAGCAAATCAGTAATAAGCATATAAATATAACCCGAAGTGGTAACATTATGGTATGATTTGAGAGAATTATAAAACATTTCATATGCAAGTAAATATAATCCTGATTAATAATATCCAATAGGAGGCTTTTTTTGTCGTCAGCATGGCCAGATGGAGCAGAGAACAGTGCAGACACATTCAGTAGGTCAGTATGAACAACCTGGTAACAACAACAACACAACATTCTTGCTTATATTTTCTGTATCACTGACATGCTGTAGGTTCCCATGTTAAAAGGACGAAATAAACATGTTGCCTGTGGTAACCAGGTGCCACTGAAATGAAGACTTACAAACTTATTTTTCTCAAGGAAATGTGTGGACAAGTTGCATTGTGAATATAAGGTGATCAAATTTAGACTAATTTATTTATTTCTATTATTATTATTTTATTTTATTTTTTTTTTTTCTTTTTTTTTTAAAGTATATATTTGAGCCCAAATTTGTCATTGTCTCAACTGTCCCGGAGAGGCAGAATTTTTGGGAAAATGTTTCATGTTTGGATTGGCCTTTAAAATGTTTGATAAATTGTTAGCAGACAAGTGTATCTGTTGTTTTATCTGTCACCATCATCATTAATCTCATAATGTTATATAATAATAATAGTAATACTACTACTACTACTACTACTACTTGGTAGGGCTGCGCGATTATGTAAAAAATCATAATCACGATTATTTTGGTCAAAATTGAAATCACGATTATGCTAACGATTATGCAGCGCACGTGATGACATATTGTTTACATGACGGCATGTCATTTCTATTTCTAAATGGTCGCGTGTTTACAATTCTCCTCTCCTCTCTGTATCGCGCATGGCGGAGTTCAGCCCCGATGCGCGCGCGCACACACACACACACGTACGCGCACACACACACACACACACACACAGACCAACCTCTCTCGCTGTTTTTGAAATCTTCCACGATCACCTGCCCCTCGTATTATTCGTAGTTGTTCTACTTGACTGGCTCGTGGAGTGAATAGAGGGGAGGGGGCAGTATTGCACATGCGCGGCTTCCGTAGAAAACAAAATAACATCTGAAGTTGTCTGTGACCAAAAACGTTTACCCTCGATTTCGTTAATTTTGAAATTGTCTGACCTCAAAATCGTAATTGCGATCACCAGACGATTAATTGCACAGCCTTACTTCTTGGGTTAAGGACAATTAATGAACATATTTTATTCACCAATCAATTTGTCATGTCGTGTTACCTTCAGGTCATGGGGAAAACTTTTCTTGCATGCCTCCAAAGAAAATGGCAAATATATTGATTCATTGATTGATTAAAAACCAGTTTACCAACTGAAAACTAAATCAAGACATCCATTGACAAACCCTCATACAATTTGTGAAGTATAATCCAAGTGTCATTAATCAATTTTTTATGAAAAATGCACGTTTGGGAAGCACTGAGCATATGACTGGATAAATGAGAACATATTATACTGCACTTGTTATGTGAGTAGTTTGGTTGTTGTTAAATGTGATTCCCCAAAAAATCCATAAATAAATATGTTTACTGTTTTCTGCTAGGGTTAGGGTAACATGGCATCACTGTTTTACAAATGCTCATTTTGTGGGTGAAGTAGTCCTTTAAAAGTAGATATAGGCACATAAAATGAAGACATTCCTTCTTTACGTAATGATATGAATTGCAGTGTGTGTTACTGGATAATGTACTTAGCATGTATGTACATACATAGAATGATCATGATGCTGGTGGAAAAAAAAGGAGTTGAAAATGACAGTTTGTCATTTTATTTGCATTATTTTATGGTGAAAACTAAGGTAAGTCTTTTAATTTTAAATAGAATATGTGCAGAATCATGTACTGTCTAACATAATGTGGGAAATACATGTTCTCCTGTCAGTAGTTGTATTTTCAAGATAAGGTGTTTTGATTACGGTTGTAAGAATGTATAAAAAAAGGCTTGTTTTCCTTGTATTAAAAAGGATATACAAGTGTAGATGGATGTTATAGATATGATCAGGGAAAAAAATAGTGAACAGTTTCTTCACTGTTGCCTCAATTAAAGGTGTTGCTTGAAGATCAGAGGTGCTTTCTATGATCATGGTTGTCATAGGAATAAGAAAAAAACTCATCACACAACTTGCCAGGATGCTGACAGCTCACATAAGGTTGCAACTGGCAATGAGTGTGATTTTAAGAGTGCCAAAAAAATGAAATAAAATAATATGAATAGACAGACACTACACTTTGAAGAAAACTCCTTAAAACACAAATAATAAATGAGTGTTACTATACTTGATACTTCCAAAAGTTCAATGAAAAGTTCATTTGCTTGAAGATTCCTCTGAGTTCATTTTTGATCAGTTATAAATAAAGACAGCTAAAGTCAGTTAACAGTGGTGTGGTTTCAAAATGCAGGTTGAACTGTTTACTGTGTCCTTATTGTTGCATTTTTATTGTTTGGCATCATATTTCAGAGAAAATTGAGAGCTTAAGAAATCCAAACTTATTTAACAACATTATCTTTCTCCCTTATGACATTTAGAATGGCCTCTTATGAGCAGCATTTTATGCTACACAGATCATCTGCATATCAAATTGGGAGCATTATGCTGTGCCATTATGCTATGTGTACACTGCACAGTGCACCTTACTGTGCCTCGCATCTTCATGAGAGCACTTTCGCAACCCCACACATCATTTTAGCCAAAGGAACTTAACATCTGGTATTCCCCATTAACCTCATCTAATGTAGTGAGTGAGGAACACACTCCCCTCCCTCTCCTTGAGCAAGGCATTTAGCCTGCAATTGCTCCAGTGGAGCAATGAATGAGGAAATGAGATTCAAGAAAGAGAGCACACGTCTGTTTTGACTCTCTGGTTTGTTCACTTATGCCCTCATGTGCTGGCGCTCAGGAAAAACATTAATCATGCCGTGTAAAAAAAAATATTTAAAAATTAATTATGAAAGTGTGTGATGTGATGATTGTGTATAGTCACAGACTTGCATGTTCAACAAAGGTTTGGATGAGCTGAGAGTCAACGGGAAGTGTTTTTTACAACACTGCATGAGGTACTTGCCAATCGGATACTACAAAATACAGATTCAGTGCTGGTAGACATTTTATACGTTTTTTTTAAATAGAAACTCACACAGACAGTTACACTAGATTCTTATTAATGCTATTATCATTTACTGGCATAATAGTAATGCAGCGGCTGCAGCAGGAGTAGTATAGTCATAGTATATGTATATTACCTTGGACAAGGATGTGCACTGAGGTGGTTCTCGGTCGACTGCTTGTCTGGACTGCGCACACATACTGCCCCTCATCTGTCATGTCCACGTTTTCAATCTTGATGGTAAACTCCTCTTGATTAAGGGTCACCAGACTCACTCTGGGGTCCACCGACCATTTGTCTTCTCCAGCATACAGTATACTCGACCGGTTTAGCCATGCTGTGTGTGTGACAACATCCCCCTGTGCGCACCTGTAAGGCAATAAAAATAGTACTGAAAATAGGCCTTTTACCAAAGTGGACAAGAAGTTATTTTGAAATAACTTGAAGTACTCATAGAATCGACGATATGTAAAATGTATATCCAGTATTCTTGCTTCACATGATGTATACAATCAAGCCAAGCAACAATTTATATGCCATGTTTGTCTCACACAGCACTTCTCTCTCGTACAGTACATAAGGACTCTTTATTATTCATTGCAAATTCCTGAATGATTTGTTTCTGTCAGGTTGAGGTGGACAATCATCCCACTGATTAGCAAACCTTTAAGCAGAGAGGAGGAACTAATCAGTGCAGCCAGCTGGTGTAGTGTTTGGTTGAGATGAAAACATCTCCATTACACACAGCTTTCACCACTGCAGTGAACGCTTACTGATACTTCTGAAGGCTGAAACTGTCATGTACGACAGTGTAACGAAGAGGATGTGGGTCAGCTGGATTGTACAGATTTATTCTAAGTAAGGATAGTTGTCATAAAACAGATACAATTATTAGATACTAGTTGATTCATTATAATCAAATTAAAGAATTTATAATAAAGATGGACGACATGACACCTCATGATGGCTGACTGCAATATAAGTAATACACCCCGCCCCCTAAATGTTAGCGAATGGGACATAGTCTGAACTAAAATCTCAAAGTACACACCAAGTAAAGATGGTTTCTGTCATTTTAGGTGTTTCTTATGCTGATGACTGACAGCTGTGTGTGCTAATCGGTTTGCTCGCAATCAATGCCACTGCTCGCAGTTGGTTGGACGGGTGTTTGGGCGGGAACTTGACACTGTTGAGATCACTACTGCACAAACTCTAACCCCTTTTACACTGCCTCTTCAAAGCATTCCGCGTCGTTATGCTGCCTTGCTGTTCTCTATTAAAGGTTCAGTTGCAGAATGGGGGGAAAGGGCTGTTTCTCCTTGAAGGTGGCATCAGAGGTAGTAACAGTGCGGAAACAATGTCTGTATAAAGGAGACAGTTATGCATGTTTTACCCACTGCGAGAGGTTTAAAAAGTAGCTAATAGCAGTTAGCAGCTGACTCAGAGAAAAAGAACAGCAGCTGATAATGTCTGCAAATTGGGGGGGACAATGAGGTCCAGGAGCTCCTTACCCTTTGAGCAGAGAATAAGATCAGCCGCCATCTAGAAATGATCATAATAATTGTTATTGCCATGTTAATGCCACTATTACTGTTTTGAACAGGACATCACCAGAGCAAGATGACAGCGGCCGTGTTTGGGATATTTTGGCTTTTTGTACAGTGAGGACGCGTCATCCATCTTTATAGAGTCTATGATTCAAATATATTTCCCATAATGTTTTTTTTTTCTTTTTAAATCAATGTCCAGTACCTGGGGGTACTATCAGACACACCATCATTATCTTTTACTTAACTGCCAAATCATCTTTATTAGAATTGTGTGACTTTTGGAAAGTATTATTTGAAGACATTATATGATATTGGCAACATAATTGCAGTTCTCAATTCCCTCATAAAAGGGAGGAATTTTTTATGCATAATAATGTTCTAATATACGACATCAAAATGGAAATAATAAAATAATTCAAGCTATTAGCAATCATGTTAACAGCTTGCCTGGAAAATTGACAATTTTTCAATAAGCTTGGTAACAAGACACATTGTACATATGCAAATGCAACTCTCGAGCCATCATCAGGTTTCTTTTGTTAATCTGCCCACACACTTGGTTTGTGACATTCAGAAGTGATTGAGACAATGAGGTGAAAACTGTGCCGCCGTGCTCCGCTGCAAACACAACAGATTGGTTGCATCAGTCGCAAAATGCTGCTTTGATATAGGAGCTGGGTCACTGATCTTTGACTGTTTCCACAGAGAAACACATCTGCTGTTTTTTCATGGCAAATCTTTGGATCCCACTGAGAAAACACTGTCAGGGCTGCAGGGGAAAAAAAGTCTTCCTTATGGAAAGTGTGCCAAAAGAAGAAGCAACTTCAGCAAACTGTGCTTTTGGCTGCCAAATGCCTGTTCATCATCTGGGTTTATTTAACTTTCTGTAGCCTAATTTTCTGACCTACAGAGGAGCGGGGCATTTGAACATTAACCGTTTAAAATGGTAACGGTGTAACATGAGCTCAACACGTTGCAGCTGAAAGACTCTCAGTTCCATTTATGCTGTCACAGCTTTTGTTACAGCATCAGTCACTTCCACTTCAGTGGCAGCAGTAGGGTCAATGGCATCCTTGGGGCATCTGTGGTGCTATGGCAGGGAAAGAGGAAAAAAAACTGTGTGTGTGTGTGTGTGTGTGTGTGTGTGTGTGTGTGTGTGTGTGTGATCAATACACGGGAGGAAAGGCTTTCAAAAATAATGGATTGCAGTATGTTAGATGGCAAGGGATCAATTTACTATGACAAAGTGGATTCAAAGTAGGGTTTTCATTTCTAATGGCTACAGTAAATTAATTTCTTGGAGCTGCAAATGTATTTCGCACTGTTAAATGTTAACCTTTATAAATAACACCAGCAACAGCTGAGTTTGAACTGTGCTTGCCCTGTAACATTCCTTTACAATGATCAGTCCTCAGTTATGCCTGATAAAATCACGATATGAAAAGAAGAGTGATTTAATATCTCCTGGCAATCTTTCTTCACTGACCTCCAGTGGTTTAACTTCTCACCTTGGCTGCAGTGATGTGCAGGAAGACTCTGGTGATATCACTGCTGTGTGTGCGTACATGTTTTACACAGCACAATTCTGACAACACCTTTCAGTGATGCTGGGTGGAGTTGGAGATGAACAGAAAGACTTGAAACTTTAAACCAGAGAGGGCAGCAAAACACTGCTGCTCAGCCTGGTGTTCAGTTACTCTTTGAGGTGACCTACAGACTTACAAGGACACATGCTCCCATGTACATGGATGCTCAGTCAAGTGTAAAAACTGAAAGCTGGAACTTTTCTTGGAGGTGGTCCAACACACAACCTCTTTGGTGAGTGGCATATTTACTGTCAGCCTCAATGTCCATGTTAACACCATGAAGAAACATGGTCTCATAGCACAGAGGGGGATACAGTTTGATTCTTGATAGGTACTTGATTTTGGATGGAACATGTCAATTTCCCATACCACTGCTAAAACAGGAAACAGGGTACAGAATCATCGTGTTTGTGTGAGATTAAAATGAGCACTTTATATCTACATATGAAGTTGGTCCTCTTCCACAGAGTCTGACATAATACATTGTGATGTTTTTACAGTAGTCCAGAAAGGACAAACCAAACACTGGCTCTAAGGACGGTCTTGAAGGGAGGGTTTAGCAGAGGGTAATGTGTTGGTTGCAATCTGCAACCAAAAACCTGCAACCAATCAAATCTGCAATCTGCAACCCTCTGAGGCTGAAAAATGAAGCCAACACTAAAGTGCCACAAACTGTGTTTCCTCAAATGGCCACTTGAGGCTGGCTCCTAAACATGACAATCTTCATGATGAAATGCTGAACTTTACAGCAAACATGTTTGTTTCCTTTAGTGACTTCGATTTATTAAGACTTAAGTTTAAACAGAATTAAGGGTGGGGCTGCCTTGAGTGACAGACTGTTTGCGAGTCACATCTACTCCTCGCTTCTCCCCAGCTCCATCCTGTTAGTATGGTCACTTCTGGCTCCAAAAAATCACAATGAGGATGGCCAAAATGCCAAACTTAAAAAAGGGAGTCAACAAACCAATGGGTGACATCATGGTAGCTACATCTTTCATTTTATACATTATATGTCTGCAACCTCACTGCTATGCCATCAAATCCCACACACTGTTCCTTTAACAAAAAATCCTAATCATGTGACTTCTACAGAATTCATTAAACCTCCCGTTTACTTATCGGTCTTCAAGGTTGAGGCTGTTGTCAGTACCTCCTACGGAACCACAGCCTTCAGTGGTTTGTGTTTAATTGAAGAGGGTCAGTGACACAGTTGACGGTATCCTGGCACAGTGTTTACACTGCCTTCCAATTTCCAATTTATGAGGAACTCTGTGCAGTCATATTATGTGAGTGGGAGTGCTGCCTCTTTGAGTGCGATGAAAGAGTATAGAACAAGTCATAAGATATGAGATCGCAGATGCTGGTCTTTCGATAGTCATTAAATGAGGAGAAACTTGGGGGAAAGAGAGGAAAAGCAGCTCCAGTGCCTCTTGTGTTGGGTTTTGCAGTAGATACGACATTAGCAATGTTTCTACATGTGCAAAAATTCTTATTCATATCTTTGCATGCATGTTTATTCAGCACTATACTTAAATCCCCTGGTGTCAAAATGTTCAGCAGCTAATTGGAATGATCTTCTTGAATATATATTTTTAGAACTTTATTGAAAAGAAAATCTGGTTTGACGTAGGTTGTTATTGTTATAAAAACTATATGCCTCACCAACTAAATCCCCCTAGAGAGCAGTGAGAAGAAAAACGAAAGGATAAATATTTTACATACCATATATTCTCCTCCTTATCGCTTCTGCACAGATGGCAAACAAAATTTAATCCAAAAAAAAATTGTCAATCCCTTCAAAAGCATGAAAGGAGGAAGGGAAGGGGAGATGTGAGATTGGGGGGTGAAACTGTAACCGTAAGCAAACAGCTTCTCCACTCTTCTCCTTGTGTGCTTTCTGACAGTAATGTGTGGATCATTAAAAATACATGACACTTGTTGCTCCACAATTAGATGTCACCACTAGACTTTGTTTACGCTGCAAATCAATTGAGTTAATCTTTAATGCTATGTCATCTGTAGCTTTGCTTCCAGGAGTACAACCCTCATCTCTTTCAACATTCAGTCATTGTTGAGATTATCATTACCGTCTAATGACTCAGATGCACGTGAATTGAAAGAAGAAAGTGTGCTTTTTAAATACGACAACAAAAGAAATGTTTCCCTTTGAATATCTTGGGATGTGGACTTGGGTTCACAGAAGGCTTGGTTTACAAAATCTAAAGAATGTGAT